TCACAATAACTGTAAGAGGGTACTTCATGTAACTCATGTAATTTTGGTATATAATCAAAATAGATTATTAATGAACCATTTTGAATGTCTTTTCAATTTTTTATACCATATTGTTCTGTGCAGCTCTTAGCTATGTTTAAGCTGAGACTGTAGTATAACCACTGTTAATAATGCTGCAATGAATATTGGAAATTTGTTGACAGATTTCAAGAAATCTTATCAAAAGGAAGAAAAACAAGAAAGATAACCTGGTGAGAAGACAGGTATGTTGGTTTGCTTCGCTGAAGCAACCATTTCAATACATATATCAAACATCGCACACATATCTCATCTTGAAAAACAAAACTGAACTGACTTTAAAAGGTTTCTATTCTACAGTTCTCTGTGCAATAAACACTTCACCAAAATGTACAGCATCTCTCATTTTAACTTTATCAAAATTGCACCTATGTGTGCAGATATGCATAGAAAATACCTCGCAAGGGAAAGGAGAAAAAAGTAATAGCAGTTATTTCTGAAAGAGTTACGAATGGCCATCATTTTCTACTATATATTCTTTTGTATTTCTTCAGCTGGTTTTATAGTGCACACATACGGCCCTTAGCATGTTCCAGTGTTAATGAAAACTTCTGCCCGCTGGCCCCGCTGGCATAGTAGCCACCGCCACACTTCCAGCTAACAGCAGTCAGCAGGCCTACCCTGAGAGCTCTGTAGGAAAGTGTACTCACCGTGAGACCATTGTGTTAAGTGAAATAAATCTGATGCACAAATTTATTGAATACATGATTTCTCTTACCCAAGAAACACAAAACATAAATAAAAGAGCAAAGTAAAAGATGGGGCATAGGAAACAGGGAGATAGATCTTTTTTAGAAAGGCAGAGGACCAAGAGATGGAGGGGTGGAGGAAGGAAAAGAAAGAGGGATGGAAAAGAACTAGGATGTGTTCTATACGTATACCAGCTCACCACAATGATAGTAATCACCGAGTACCTCAAACATGTACAAACAGAAATAAAACTTGCTGAGGAGATAGGCCCACTCCAGCACAGTTGTACTTACAGCCAATCATCATGATAGCTACTGCGAAGATCTTCTCAATGTCCGTGGATGGGGCAATGTTCCCGAAGCCCACGCTGGTGAGGCTGGTCATGGTAAAGTACAGTGAGGAGATGTAGACTGAGTTCTTGCTGGGACCACCTTCCCACTTTCCTGAGCCAGACCCATTAAACTGGTAGGGAGTGCCAATGTCCATCGCCAGCTGATACAGCCAGCTGTTGTTGCGGATCGTCTTGGTGTCCTCATCGAAGATCTCATAGTCCCCGATGCTGTACCAGATGCAGGCCATCCAGTGTGCAGCCAGCCCAAACACACAGACCAGCAGGACCAGCACAGCAGCTCCATATTCAATGTAGTGGTCCAGTTTACGGGCCACTCGCCCGAGACGGAGCAGCCGGACAACTTTCAGAGAGCTGAACAGGCTGCTGATTCCCTGGGAGAAGAGGAACACCATCATAGCCAAAGAATCAAAGGTACCCTTTCTTCCCCTTCTTCCCACTTCAGCCATTATTTTAAGTACAGTACATTTTCATGAGATGCAGTATTATGCAACCTTTAAAGACTTAGAGTTTCTTTTTTTACAAAGCGTATGGCAGCAGAGCACTTTTTTATTTTCATTAAAAAGCAAATAATATTAGTATTATGTTATGCAAAAGTGTAGAAGAAATATATGAGACTTTTTCCATATTATTATTTATTTTAAAACAACTTAGTGGCTGTATAATATTTCATATTACATAATATGAAATATTTTAGAGGTTGCATAATATTTATTTCATATTGCATAATCTCAAACCATTGTATATAAGCATATACATAAAATGCAGAAAATTCAGGCAAGTTTTGTTACATTTATATTTTTGTTGTATATATTTACTTAATCTCTGCACTATTACTCTAATTTGAAAAAAGTATGTAAAAGTGCACACAGATTAAAAAGTTAAAATTTAGAAAATAGTACA